TTCTAATATCAGTATCAGCTGCAGCCAAGAAACTAAAAGCATAGGCTGTAAACATGCAATTTGTGTAATGGAACATGCAGTTATTTATTTCTTATTTACTGTATTTCATCCTACTTTCAGACAAGCTTGGTTTTCCAAAGCAGATAACAGGAATAAAAATATAAGAAACAGGCTCTGTGCATTCCAGGTGTGCACCTGGAGATCTGCCTTCAAATGAACATCTTAGTGCCAACGTTTAAAGTGTGGTCTAGGACTGGACAAAGCCCTCAATTTAATTTCTCACTTTATCTTTCCCTAATCTTAAATTTAGTTTTCCACATTTCTGGATCAGTTTGCAACCATTTACTTATTTTTATTATTTTTAGTGCCAGCATTTTAGTGTGGATTTTTCCTCATATACTCATTTATTTATTTTTTGCATACACTTGCGCCTGACCCACACATCTTTGCAAGCAACATCATCTAGGGTCATCTAGTCCAATCCCCCTGCAATGGAGGAATCACAACTAAAGCATCCATGAGAGATGGCTATTGTTGAAGCTCCTGGTATCAATTGGTTCAGCTGCCATGATGTATGAGCATTCTCATCAGCCACTTGGGAAGGAGCAAATATCTGCTGTTCAGCTTCTGTGAGGGAAGGGGGGACTGTCAGTTTGACTGGCCTATAGAAAGAAACTTTAACAGTGGTGAATCTGACTGGGCCTCCCTAGCCATTCTGGACGGCTCCCAACAGAATACAGTGGTGCCTCGCAAGACGAAATTAATCCATTCCGCGAGTGTCTTCGTCTAGCGGTTTTTTCGTCTTGCGAAGCAACCCTATTAGCGGCTTAACGGATTAGCGCTATTAGCGGTTTAGCGGCTATTAAAGGCTTATCGGCTTAGCGGATTAGCTGCTAAAATGCTATTAAAGGCTTAGCGGCTTAGATAAAGGGGGGGGAGCGGAAAAAAAATCTCAAGACTCGCAAGATATTTTCGTCTTGCGAAGCAAGCCCATAGGGAAATTCGTCCTGCGAAGCAACTCAAAAACGGAAAACCCTTTCGTCTAGCGGGTTTTCCGTCTTGCGAGGCATTCGTCTTGCGGGGCACCACTGTATTAAAAACATGATAAAACATCAAACATTAGAAACTTCCCTGAACAGGGCTGCCTTTGGGTGTCTTCTAAAAGTCAGATAGTTGTTTATTTCCTTCACATCTGATGGGAGGGCGTTCCATAGGGCGGGCGCCACTACCGAGAAGGCCCTCTGCCTGGTTCCCTGTAACCTCACTTCTCACAGTGAGGGAACCAGCAGAAGGCCCTCGGAGCTGGACCTCAGTGTCTGGGCTGAATGATGGGGGCAGAGATGCTCCTTCAGGTATACTGGGCCAAGGCCATTTAGGGCTTTAAAAGTCAGCACCAACACTTTGAATTGTGCTCGGAAATGTACTGGGCACCAATGTAGATCTTTCAGGACTGGTGTTATGTGGTCTGGGCGGCCACTCCCAGTCTAGCTGCTGCAGCACTTTCCCAAATATACTGACCCCTGTCATGGAACAGAAGGAAAACAGGGGTTAATAAGAGAGGTTGAGCTGAATTCCACATCTCGATTTGGAGGACCAGCTAGCCGGTCTTCTGCCTGCAGACTTCGGGTGTTTTCTTATTGCCTTGGAAACACAGTCCCTTTATTCCCGTAAAAAGCAGCCATCGACATTGTTGCAGCAGCAACAGCATAAATCTTGTTCTGTACTGTACTTCACCATGCTGTCAGTGGGAGATTGGAAAGGAGGAGGGGGTGCCCATAGAGATGTTAGATTGCTCGTTTTATTCCAGATCTGGAACAATAAAATGCAAGCATCTTCCATCTGTGAACTCTGTGGCCTGGGAAGAATGTGTCTTGGAGATTTACAGCGCCTTTCGGTAGTCCACAGTGTGGCTGGAGGTGGTGGTGGTGTGGGCCAATCAAACCGTGCACGCCAGGCCAATCCGCAGAGAAATTAAAAAGGCTTCCAGATATAATTTGGCCAGGCGTCAGGAAAGGAACAGCAGACGTGAAGTCGGCACAGCTGCCCGGGCATCAACCTCGTTCTGAGAGCCAGTATGAGATGTGTGTTAGTGGGGAACACAGCAAAGCAGCCCTCAGAAACCTGTGTAGCAGAAATCATTGGAATTGAAAGCACTCATCTGGTGCCAAGAACAGCAGCTCTGGCTGGAAGTGCATGCTAACCCCATGTGGCCTCCCCAAGAATGCAGCAGCCTCGCATCTCCGCTTCTGTTCTCTGGTACATGGGAATCAGGCGAAAATCCCTTTCCAGCCCAGCATCCTGTTCTCGCAGAGGCCAAGAAGTTGCCTTTGGGGAGCCAGCAAGCGGAGCCTGCTCTCTTCACTTGTGATTTCCAGTAAATACTACTCAGAAGTACTGCCTCCGACAGCGAAGGCAGAACACATACTCTCTAAGTGTCCTGATTTTCCAGGGAGAGTCCCAGGATTCCAGAAGCTGTCCTGGTTTCTGATTTGATCCTGGAATAATAATAATAATAATAATAATAATAATAATAATTTATTATTTATACCCCACCCATCTGGCTGGGTTTCCCCAGCCACTCTGGGCGACTTCCAGCAAAACGCTAAAATACAATAACCTATTAACCATTAAAAGCTTCCCTAAAGAGGGCTGCCTTCAGATGTCTTCTAAAAGTTTGGTAGTTATTTTTCTCTTTGGCATCTGGTGGGAGGGCTTTCCACAGGGTGGGTGCCACTACCAAGAAGGCCCTCTGCCTGGTTCCCTGTAACTTGGCTTCTCACAGCGAGGGAACCGCCAGAAGGCCCTCGGCGCTGGACCTCAGTGTCCAGGCAGAACGATGGAGGTGGAGACGTTCCTTCAGGTATACTGGACCGAGCCCGAATGCCCGGGTTATTCCTTATTTCTTGCCTCCATATCTCAGAGAACCATAGAGAGTGCGAAAACGGAGTCCTGTTTATACTGAAAACAAGATACGTGCACCAAATGAAGGAGATGGCGATGCTGGCATACAAAGCCCTCCTTATAATCTTGAAGGAAAAGGTCGCCAGTGCACTTTAAATGAATTGCAATGCTTCAGCAGTGAGCCATTCCTTAGGAAATGTGTGGAGTGTTTATTCCCTTTTTTCTCTTCTTTTTTTGTAAATGGAGCCTTACACTTTCTACTGAGAAGTAAGCCCCACTGGAGAAGTAAGCCCCATGGAGCTTACTCCCAGGTAACTGGGTCAAGACTGGGCAACCTTACACTGCAATCCAAAGCATTTTTACTTGGAACTAAGTCCCATCAACATAAAAAAAAACCTAAGATAATGGCCACTAGTCCCATCACCTCCTGGCAAATAGAAGGGGAAGAAATGGAGGCAGTGAGAGATTTTACTTTCTTGGGCTCCATGATCACTGCAGATGGTGACAAAATTAAAAGACGCCTGCTTCTTGGGAGAAAAGCAATGACAAACCTAGACAGCATCTGAAAAAGCAGAGACATCACCTTGCCAAAAAAGGTCCTTATAGTTAAAACTATGGTTTTCCAAGTAGTGATGTTGGGAAAGATGGAGGGCACAAGGAGAAGGGAACGACAGAGGATGAGATGGTCGGACAGTGTTCTCGAAGCTACGAACATGAGTTTGACCAAACTGCGGGAGGCAGTGGAAGACAGGAGTGCCTGGCGTGCTCTGGTCCATGGGGTCATGAAGAGTCAGACACGACTAAACAACAACAACAACAAGTCCCATTGAGCTCAACAGGATTTACTGTTTTGCTTTTGTTCCTGATAATTCTCATGGTTTCCATTGCTGTTGTGGTTGCTGCTGTTGTTATATCCCACCTTTTCCCCTGACAGGGACTCCAGGCACTTTGCAGCTAAATTTTTATTTCATTCCATTTACCCGCAGAAGGTATTGCATGCGATCCCTTCCCCTCACATAATTCTTCTGTACAACAACCCTCTGAGGTAGGTTCAGCGGAGAGGTTGTAATTGGCTCAAGGCATCAGGTTTATCTGTGTATACGAGGTATATTTTTGTGGTGAGATCAAACACAGGGGAAGCTTCCTGCTGGAGAATAGAATGTCCTAATCTTCATCTGAGAAATGTTGGAGGGTATGAGAGCAAAGTCATTGTGACTTGTAGCTACCTGAAGCTATGATGAACAGCAGTTTTCACAAGTGGCACCAATTTAAGTGACAGACGTACAGTCGTACCTCGGCTCCCGAATGCCTTGGGAGTCAAACATTCCAGCTCCCAAACGATCGAAAACCGGAAGTGAGTGTTTTGGTTTGTGAACGTTCTTTGGAACCTGAATGTCCAATGGGGCTTCTGCTGCTTCTGATTGGTTTCTGAACGTTTTGGAAGTCAAACAGACTTTCAGAACAGATTCCGTTCGGCTTCCAAGGTACAACTGTATTGGACTGTACCTTTCAGGTTGCAACTGGAGTGCTAGCTTTCTGAATGCTCCTCCACATTTAAAAGTACAGTGGTACCTCAGGTTACATACGCTTCAGGTTACATACGCTTCAGGTTACAGACTCCGCTAACCCAGAAATAGTGCTTCAGATTAAGAACTTTGCTTCAGGATGAGAACAGAAATCAGGCTCCGGCGGCGTGGCAGCAGTGGGAGGCCCCATTAGCTAAAGTGGTGCTTCAGGTTAAGAACAGTTTCAGGTTAAGTACAGACCTCCGGAACGAATTAAGTACTTAACCCGAGGTACCACTGTAGTACTGTCTACCCCAGGAAGTGGGGAAACTGGGCCTGTGGGACAATCTTTGCATGGGGAAAACCAGAACACCAGGAAGGATAATTTCACATATATGCAGTTTTACTACAGGGGTGCAGAAACTCAGGTCTCTGTGAATGTCGCCACTGAGGCCCCTCCTTCTGGCCCTCGAATTCCCCCTAGAGCACACACACACTCTCTCAGCAACAACCCTTCATTAACCTTGCTCCCCACCCTCAAGTGATTTTTCCAGGATGGAGGTGTGTGTGTGACCTTCTGACTGTTGCATGGTTATGAAGGGAGAGGGAAGGGTTGCTTTCTATATGCTTTCTATACCTTGTACCTTGTACCTAAGAAGGATCTTCTATATTCTCTGTACTTTGGATCTAAGTAAATTTCTGAGCTAATTTGACTTCTGCAAAGAGGCCCCTCGCTTTCTTATTTTAGGAATGCAAGATAAGAAAGACACATATGAAGGAGACTGTAAGCTAGAAATAACCAGAGGCCCCTCGCTTTCTTACTTTAGGAATGTAAGATAAGAAAGACACATACGAGGGAGACGGGAGGAGGGAGGGAGCTTTCTCAAGGTATAAGAAAGTCTGCAGAGGCGTATTTCTGGGCAGCCAGTCTTCCAGAAGTTATTCTGCTGGCTGTCACTGTGCACAGAGAATAAACTGTTTTCCTCCAAAGAAGGATCTTTCCTGGTGCTTTCTTTGCTCTCTCTCTGGATCTGAGGACGCGGGCCAACGATTCCCTGGCATGGACTAGGCTCAGCCTACATCTTGGTTCCCTGACCGGGAATCTGCCCCACCTCAGAGGGCTGGGGAGAGCCAGGCTCGACCTTGGTGGACAGCTCGGATCGGCAATTGCAGGCTCCACGCGCACCCTGCCAATTTGTGGGGAGCCAGCCACACCGCTCCGGAGCAAGGACCCAGGTCGAGGGAGGAAAGAGGACTGGCCAGGGAAGGGAATCTGCAGCAGAAAACGGTAAGCCCAAGGGAAAGGGCGTGGGCGTGAGCCCAAGGGAAAAGAGGGAGGCCTGATCAGCCTCACCTGGTTATGCAGTAGAGTGCAGCCAGGAAGGAAAAAAAAAGGGGCGTGGCAGTGGTGTGCCACCGGTAAGGTTTGGTAAAAAAAAAAAAAAAAAAAAAAAAAAAAGGGGGGGACCGAGGGGAAAATTATTTTGGTGTGTTTTGTGTATTACATGTTGAAATTATTTTGGTGTGTTTTGTGTATTGCATGCTGAAATTATTTTGGTGTGTCTAGTGTGTTACATGTTGAAATTATATTGATGTGTTTTGTATGTTGTATGTTGCATGTCAGATACTCTAGTGACTGAATTGTCAAGTGTGGGCCAGGGCTTAGTGTCCCCCTTGGCCGAGCGATTGTAGGGCTGTAGTGTGTGTAGAGTGAAAGAATTTACAACCTGTTAGCAGCAGAGTATCTGAAAATGGGGTCTGGGGCAAGCCAATGTAGTCCTCTGGAATGTTTTTTAAACAACTGGAAAGCAGCCACAAAGCATGATGATTGGGGAATCAAATTGAGGCAACGGAGGATGAGAACATTATGTGAGGTTGACTGGCCCTCGCAACAAACTAACTGGCCCTCGGAGGGGAGCTTCGATTTGCAACTAATCAACCCACTGTATCGAAATATCTTGAACGTCCACCCAGACCAGATCCCCTACATTTCTACTTGGAAAACCAATGTAGAAAAGAACCCATCGTGGTTGAAAGCCTGCCGAGGCGACGCCCACAAAGTACAGTTTGTGCAGTTCGACCGACAGGGAAGTCAGAAAAGCCCCCAGTGATACCAGACCCAGAAGAAGAGGAGGGGAAGTCATTAAACCACCTCCACCCTATGCTCCACCAACTGCCCCTCCCTGGACCCAGGCCCCCAGGCACCGGGAGGAGCTAGCCCCCAGCCTGAACCCCCCAAGGCTAATGAATCAGAAGAAGAAGAAGACGATGATGAGGAATTTGTAAAGGGATTGGTTGAGTTAGCAAAGAAGGGAAGAGAGTGGACTCAGTATCAGTCTTTGAGATTGCAACAGTATGTACAACCCTATGCAGAAGAAGTGGATGTTAGCCCCCACGTGTTGGCTGCAGCAGGATGCTCCTCAACACAAGGGAAGAAATGGCAGAGGGAATGGATAGAAGCAGCAACCAGGGCAGCCTTCCATAAGTCCCATGAGGCACAGAAAAGGGTGGGGTCGGAGTAATGCCCCTCCGAAGGGTTTATGACCCACCAGGACCTCCAGGGACTAATGGAGCAGCAGCAGAACGGACCTATACGGTCCAGCATATACCCTTTTCAAGTGCAGATGTCTGTAACTGGAGAAATCAAAACCCATCTTTTGAGGAAAACCCAGCGAAGATCATAAAGCTGTTTGAAGGGATTTTTAAAACTTATAATCCCACCTTTGATGATGTGCAGTATTTGATGGATGCGCTGCTAACCACAGAAGAAACTAGGCGAATCCATGCTGAAGCCCGAGCACACCTGAGAGCGCAGGGAGTGCAGGATCCAGCTATGGCAGCAGGATATCCAGAAAACACCCCGAATTGGAATTATCAGACTGTTGATGGCCAGAACATCCTCACTACCTACCGCCAGAATGTGTTAAATGGTATGAGAAGGGCAGCTAGGAAACCCACCAACTTTGTGAAGGTTAGAGAGGTAGTGCAGGGGAATGAAGAGGCCCCAGGAGCATATTTAGAACGCCTGAAGGAAGCCTACCGCCAGTATACTCCTGTGGACCCAGATGAGGCTGCCAACGCCCCTATCATAAAAGCTGCCTTTGTGGCCCAAGCGGCGCCCGATGTCCGCCGAAAGATTCAAAAACACGAGGGGTTCATGGGCCACACCCTTGAGTGGATGTTAGAACTGGCTCAAACCACTTATAATCAGAGGGAGGAAGAGGCACAAAAGAAAAAGGAGAAGTATCAAGCAAAGAAGTTGATGGCGCTACAGGCTACCGCACCCACCCCTCAGGAAAGAGGAAGTGCCCGGGGAGGAGGGCAAGGCCGTCTGGGGAGGAACCAGTGCGCCATCTGCCGGCAGGAAGGGCACTGGAAAAGAGAATGCCCACAAGCTCACTCAGGTGGAGGAGGACGAGGAGAGCGAATCCCAGGCCCAATCCCCGTGGGACCTGGACAAGAACTGAGACCTTGGACATCTGCAAATACAGGCAGGGGTAGAGGACGTGGACAGGGACCTCCCTGGCACCCTCCAGCCCAAAGACAGCCCGCCGCGATGAGCCTGAGAGAGGAGGAGGAAGAATACTAGGACAGACCGGGCCCAGCTGATTTAGGTTCCCGTGAGCCCATGGTCAAAATACAAACAGGGAACCGAACCATCCCCTTCATGGTTGACACAGGAGCCGCCCACTCTGTTTTGCCAGTACCAGTGTCCAAGCCCACCAAGCAAACAATTAACATAATAGGAGCTACAGGCAAATCACAAAGAGCCCCCTTCTTGCAATCTGTTGCCTGTCGCCTGGGCGGCCAAGTGGTCCAACACAAGTTTTTGTATATACCAGAGTGTCCCATCCCATTGTTGGGCCGAGACCTGCTATCAAAATTGCAAGCCCAGATTTCCTTCCAACCGACAGGAGAAGTGACAATGACTACAGGGCAAGCAGGAGAGTTCTCCTTAGAGGTACCCTTGAGGGAACACTGGCGCTTAATGATGGTAGAAGAAGAGGAGGGGATTATTCCAGAAGACCTCCTGCAAGAAGTTAACCCTGGTGTATGGGCAGAAAGCAACCCGCCCGGAATGGCAAAGAACATCCCACCTATAATAGTCAAGCCCAAGCCATTCGCCAACCCTGTGGCTGTGAACCAATATCCTATCCCCCGAAGAGCTGCGGAAGGAGTATGGGTACATTTGGAACGGTTACTTCGCCATGGCATCCTGAGGCAGTGTCAATCTCAGTGGAACACCCCACTCTTGCCGGTGAAGAAGGAAGATGGCTCGTACCGCCCGGTCCAAGACCTTAGATTAGTCAACCAGGCCGTGGAGACCCTCCACCCCAATGTGCCCAATCCTTACACGCTGTTGAGTCTAATACCTCCCACCGCATGTTATTTCACCGTATTGGACTTGAAGGATGCATTCTTCTGTTGCCGCCTGGCAGAAGAAAGTCAGCCCCTGTTTGCATTTCAATGGACAGATCCGGGAACAGGCACCAGGGTGCAATACACGTGGACGAGGCTTCCACAAGGCTTCAAGAATTCTCCAACCCTTTTTGGGGTTGCATTGGCCTCGGACCTGTCTAGCTTCCCCACCAGTCCGCGCAGAGTCTTGATGCAGTACGTGGATGATCTTCTTTTGGCCTGTTCAGACGAGAGCACGTGTATGGAGGCCACCAAGGACTTGTTAAATCACCTGGCTGAAGCAGGATACCGAGTATCTAAGAAAAAGGCCCAGATATGTCAACCCACCGTGAAATACCTTGGATTTGATATATCCCATCAGCGACGGACCCTAAGGGAAGAAAGGAAGCAAGCCATCATCCAGATTCCAGAGCCAAAGAATCGCAGGGAACTTCGCGGCTTTCTGGGCTCAGCAGGATTCTGTAGAATATGGATACCAGACTACAGCACAATTGCCAAGCCTCTGCATGAGTCAACCAGAGGAACTGAAAAGGACCCCTTTGTGTGGGGAGAAGAGCAACAGCATGCCTTCAAGGATCTGAAAAAGGCATTGCAGCAAGCACCAGCGCTGGGCATCCCAAATCCTGAGAAGCCTTTCTCCCTATTTGTGGATGAAGACCAGGGAACAGCAAAGGGAGTGCTATGCCAAAAATTGGGAAGCTGGCAGCAGCCCGTGGCATACCTATCTGAGCGCCTGACGCCTACAGAACAAGGTTTACCGCCATGCATGAGAGCAGTAGTGGCAGTAGCCACCCTACTGCACAAAGCAGACAAATTTACTTTTGGCCAAGACACTGTTTGTGTGACCCCGCATGCAGTCCCAGCTCTGCTTGACATGAAGGGTACCTATTTCCTCTCCCAAGCAAAAATGAGAAAGTGCCAGATGCTATTGTTGCACCCGCGTTTGAAGTTCCAGGTTACCACCGCCCTCAACCCAGCTACCCTGTTGCCGGTAGGAGAAGGTGAGGAGCAGATGCACGATTGCATTGAAGTGATGGATGAAGTATATTCCAGCAGACCTGACCTAAAAGATGAGGCAAACCCCACTGGCCTTCATGGTTTGTAGATGGAAGCAGCTTTGTTGAGACTGGACAGCGGAAGGCAGGCTATGCAGTGGTTGCCCTGGAAGACCAGGTGATCGAAGCAAAGTCACTCCCACCTGGAACATCGGCCCAGCTGGCAGAGCTAACTGCGCTTACCAGAGCCCTGAGCCTGGCAAAGGGACAGAAGATAAACATTTATACAGATTCTAAGTATGCATTCCTGACTTTACATGCCCATGGAGCCTTATGGAAAGAAAGAGGTTTGCTTACCTCCAGAGGAAGCCAGGTGGCCCACCCACAAGCCTTATTGAACCTTCTGGATGCTGTATGGGAGCCCGAGGCAGTGGCAGTTATCCATTGTTATGGACACAAGACTGGACCAGGGGAAGTGGCCAGAGGAAACCGATTGGCAGACAGAGTAGCCAAGGAAGCAGCCCAAGAACTGGCCCCCGCCTCGGTTATTGGAGCACTGGTCCCAGAAGAGATTTTAAGCACTACTGACAAGCCAGCTTATACGAAGCAGGAAAGGGACACTGCAGACGCTCAGGGGTTGACGTTGTCCAACGAAGGATGGTACCTTACCCCTGATGACAGGATATGGATTCCAGAGTCCCTTTCTCGGCAGGTTACTCAGAGATACCATGATTCAACCCACATAGGACCAGATGCTACAACCAAGCAGCTGGAAAAATGCTTCTATATAGCCCACCTTTACCAACTGGCAGCCCAGATCTCCAGGAAATGCCTGCTGTGTCAAAAGAATAATCCCAGAGCCGGACCACTGGCTCCCCCAGGGATTCAGCACAGTGGAACTGCACCTATGGAAGATCTTGTCGTGGACTTTACTGAATTACCCCGTTGTGGACTGCACCGCTACCTGCTGGTAGCAGTGTGCACCTACACCGGATGGGTTGAAGCATGGCCCACAAAGACTGAAAAGGCACTTGAAGCAACCAGGTGCCTGCTTAGGGAAATCATCCCTCGCTATGGACTGCCAAGGTCCATAGGATCTGACAATGGACCAGCATTTGTTCATGCAGTCCTACAGGGACTGGCAAAAGCGCTCCAGATCAACTGGAAGCTGCATACTGCTTATAGACCCCAGAGTTCTGGAAAAGTAGAGAGGATGAACAGAACTCTAAAGAATCAGCTGTCCAAGCTGACACAGGAGACCGGGTCTAATTGGGTGACCATGTTGCCCTTGGCATTACTCAGGGTCCGCAGTCTCCCGTCAAAACGGACCCATTTGTCACCTTTTGAAGTTATGTTTGGGAGACCAGTTCCATATGTTAGAATGTTAACTCCATATGCTAGCCAAGATGTACAATTGAATAACTATGTACAGTCACTCTCCCAAGTTTTCTCTTACCTCAACAGGTGGACCCAGGCTCGCACCCCATGTGTGTTAACTGAACCGTTCCATCAGTTCGAGCCAGGTGACGAAGTGTGGGTGAAAGACTGGCAGCGAGCCCCCCTACAGCCCTGCTGGAGGGGACCCTACACTGTGCTACTCTCTACCCCTACTGCTGTGAAGGTTGCCGGCATCACCCCGTGGGTCCACCATACTCGAGTGAAGAAAGCCATTTCAGACTGGACAGTAACACCAGATCCAGAGAATTCCCTTCGGCTGACCATCTCCAGACGCCCGGTAGACAACCGCCCTGCTGATATCACTCCGGAGGCTGATATCTCTACGCACGGCTGAAGAATTGGATGGGAGGGCGCCCGCGGGCAGCGTCCCCAACGTAGAAACTTGCTCTCCAGCAAATTCAGAGGCACCAATCGGACTTTTGGTATTGGGTCCGGAACCCTTGATATAGTCACCCCAAGTGTCAGGCCATTGCAGGGGTGGACATATTCCTGTGGGTGCATGCTGATATATGAAGAGGGAGGAGCCCCTTTTGGGTATAATATCTTGAAGAGACAACACGAGAGCCCAGTCCACCCACAAGGGATTGTAGGGAAATTGCTCCGTATAGTAGGTGCCTCAGCAGAGAAGTGGAAAGTTACCCCTGAGGCCCAGGAAATAGTTGAATACGAGTATCAGTGGGCCCTTCAGCTGTAAAAGAAAACTAGAAATGAACCCTGATTTTTGGTGGGAGGAACCATGGAGATATTGGGTTTGGTGGATAGGAGTGATATGTATCGCCCTTGTCATATGGATGCTCTCGTATTTCTGTTGGCACGAGCGCCATAGGTTTTTTTGGAAGGAAGCGATCACCCTCCATCCCCTTGATGATCCTTCTCCTATTTATGATGGGAGAATCTATTCCCAAGGCCGAATGCTTCCAGGTCTTAAATCGTAATAGCATTTTCCCCACACAGGAAATGAGAAAACAGGGGGCTCAGAGTCTCTATAACAAGTGGCTTCAATTGGCAGAAATAGTAGCCCATGAAGCAAATAAAACTGCTTGTTTAGTTTGTACCCTTGGACCCTTAGATGGAGGAGGAGGAATGCCCATGCTCCCCATACCCCTCAATCGTTCTCAGATCCAATATACACATAGTCCATCCCGCCCAACTCCTTATTGGAACCATTCAGCTCCTTTACGAGTTTATAGGGTCTCTGGATGGTTCTGTATTAATCAAACCCGAAATACCGTCTACAACTATACGAGGTTTATAGGACGGTCATCATGTAAATGTACATGTGGTAGTCCTTTGGACATCTCTGAATGTGGCGGGGCTTGTACCAACCTTGCACTCATGGTGGAAGGTTCTCGAGCCAGCTGGACCTCTTCTCAGCGCGGCAGTAATATTTATTGGATTTGTGGAACAAAAGCTTATCACCTCTATCCACAGAACGGATATGGTGTCTGCTTTCCAGCGTTTCTTGTACCTCCAATGTGGATACCCTCTTCCCCATCCCATCGTAACCGCCGCTTTGCTGATATCTCCAACATCGCGGGGGGTAGTAAACAAACCTGGGGAAAGGACGAATGGCCACCTGAGCGGATAATTGCCCACTATGATCCTGCCTCCTGGAACCCTGATGAGTTAGTGGCAGGTGCCAGAGAGCCCATTTACAATCTCAATCGAATCATCAGGCTCCAGGCAGTGGTGGAAGTTGTGGCCAATGCTACAGCCACCGCCCTCCGTCTTGTTGCCACCCAGCTAGATGAAACCCGAACGGCTATTCTCCAATTGCGTTTGGGAATGGACTTCATTTTAGCTAAGCAAGGAGGTTTTTGTGCTGCCCTGAACCTGACAGGTGGAGCATGTTGCTTCAACATTTCAGACCATGGCGAGGCTATCCGTGATCTGGCAGCAAGCATTGAAAAGGTAGCACATGTCCCTGTACAAACCTGGGAGGGCTGGGATATGTCTTGGTTGGACGGCATCTTCCCAGGTGGATGGATGGGGAGGATATTTACTATGGTGATAGGTCCAATAATGCTTTTATTGCTTTTCTGCTTCTGTATGCCCTGCTTGATGCAATGTATGCAAAGTATGATGGAGAAGATGATGTCTCGCATGATGGGACCTCGTGTGCTTGCTTTCATGAGAGATTATAGACCCCTACCCCAGAACGAACCTAAGTATTAGGTTGTTCATAAGAAGAGGAGGGAGTGAAGGGAGAGGGAAGGGTTGCTTTCTATATGCTTTCTATACCTTGTACCTTGTACCTAAGAAGGATCTTCTATATTCTCTGTACTTTGGATCTAAGTAAATTTCTGAGCTAATTTGACTTCTGCAAAAGAGGCCCCTCGCTTTCTTATTTTAGGAATGCAAGATAAGAAAGACACATATGAAGGAGACTGTAAGCTAGAAATAACCAGAGGCCCCTCGCTTTCTTACTTTAGGAATGTAAGATAAGAAAGACACATACGAGGGAGACGGGAGGAGGGAGGGAGCTTTCTCAAGGTATAAGAAAGTCTGCAGAGGCGTATTTCTGGGCAGCCAGTCTTCCAGAAGTTATTCTGCTGGCTGTCACTGTGCACAGAGAATAAACTGTTTTCCTCCAAAGAAGGATCTTTCCTGGTGCTTTCTTTTGCTCTCTCTCTGGATCTGAGGACGCGGGCCAACGATTCCCTGGCATGGACTAG